CCCTATTCGTGATTTCCAAGTGAAAATGCACATCCTTTGATGGTATTACTTATTTTCAAGCATTTTCAGGTAAGGAAGAACTCATTAAAGTGATGTTGGGTGCGAGGGAGGGAGGATGGACGAGTTTATTAAATTAAAAATGCCTGTCTGATGCTGTAATACCATCATTCCTAAGTAAAGGATGTGGCATGTCTTATATTAACACACATCAAAACCGAAGAGAAGCAGCTGACAAAACAGATAACAAATCCGTATTGTTGCATTTGCTTTTGAAATAACTATGGGACAAGTCAGACACAATCTTGGAGAAAAAGTTAAGACCATACTTTTTAATTGACTCATTTATTATTTTTATGACTTACCACACCAAAGAATTTCAGAAATAGAAGAGGCAAAGGATAATATAAAAAAATTGATCATGGTGACTTGTTTATTAATAATCTTACTGCTGGGTGACAACAACTTCTCATTTAGCATTTCAAAGTACGTTTCCTTGGAGGATTTCTTCCTTCCTTCCTTCCTCCCTTCCTTTCTTCCTCCCTTTCTTTCCTTTTTAAAGAGATTTTTTTGCTCTAAAGCATGTGCACTTGCCTGAGAGAGAGACAGAAAGCAAGAAATCACTCCTCAAGGGGGGATGGCCATGCTATCGTCCCTTCTCCTCCATTCTTCTCTTGGGACTTTGGACACACACGCACACATGCCTGGTGTGAGTTTCAAGCCACTGGGTCCAGGACTTGAACCGCAGTCAACTATGTGAGAGTTCAGAAGCGTAACCATTACGCCATCTGCTGGTCCCCCTTGGAGGCATTTCTTACTCAGAAGACTCTAACTGAAAAATAAGAGTTGAAAGATTGTAAAATAAGGAACCAGCAGGTGGTGTGGTAGTTAAGGCGCTGGACACTCCCACATGGCCGACCAGGGTTCCCAGTCCTGAATCTGGTGGCTTGCTTTCTCACTTCCTCTCTCTCTCTCATTCTCACCCTCTGTCTCTCTCTGCCCAAACTAAAAAATAAATAAATGAATAAATAAATTAAATAAAATAAATAATTATTAAAAAAAAGAAAGATTGTAAAATAAAAATGATGGCACTGTTTTCCAGATATCTGGGTAGGTGTCAAGAATTTCACCAGTGAGGAGGTAACCAATATACCTAATTACTGGCTTCAGCACCATCATTTCTTACTACTGCATGGTGAAAAAGTGAAGGGAAAAGCTGAGTAAATATACACTTTTGAGGAAAAAAAACAATTAAACATAGAGATTGCAGTTCTAATAGGCCCTTGTGTCACGTATTGCTCTATCACCCCCCAAAAAGCACCTTACTGGAAAAGATAAAGTAAAACTCTTATTAAGCAGCAAATTAAAAGCCATGGAAGAGAGATGAGAAGTAAATATACAAAACCTTCAGTTATTATAATTACTGAATTTGAGCGTTAAAATGAAGCTCTAGATTTCCTGGCTATTAAAGCCCATGTAGGAAACATGATAGTTTATGTGTTTCTCTGATAAAAAGGAAGCACGTTGGTCTGTGAGGACAATTTTTGTGTTTTTCTAGAAAAAAAATCTGTCATCCTTGTGAAAAATAAACAAACAAACAAACAACAAAAGAAAAACTGGACAACTGGGCCATGTGCTCAATGATATTTTTGCAGAAATGCCATGTTCATGACAGCGTCAGTAAGTAAGAACAACAACAAAATCACCTTCTAAGGTAAGTGTGAAGACATCCATTTGCATTCCACTGTATTTCCTTTTCATCCCTTTAAAAGTCCATGGTCCCACTGAAGGGGAGGCCATGCATACTGTCACCCACAAAACACCAAAGTCAGACAAATCAAGCACTATTTTTCCTCTGGTGCCTCCCACGCCACAGACGTACAGGGCGTTTCCTCTCGGGGAAATGAACGGTTCTCCTGGGTCTTGAAGGACAACCAGCAACACTCGAGATGGAACACAACTCTGGCCCAAATGCTCTGCAGTTTGCAGACTTTGTTTTAATTAGTAAAATCTGTTTGCGAATGCAGTCATGTTCTAAGACTCCCTTTGTTAGTCTTCTGACTTGTTTTGCCTTTGGAGGTATGAGAGGAGGAAGCTGTTTAAAGGGGTTCTGGAACAGCAACTGTTCATTAAAGTGAAAGTAAACGGTTACTGTCTGCTTCCTTAAACATGGATATGCCTTCCTCCTTAAACAGTCCTTAAAATGAGAAAGAGTTACTGAGAATTTACCTTCAAAATCTCTTCAACACAATGGACTTCATTGGAGTAGGTCTGCTGAAAGTGAAAAGAAAAGATTAGTAAGCAAACAGTTAAGAGTGATGGTACTGATGGATGCTGGCATTAATACAGTAACACTCTCACAGTAGATTTACTGCAGGCCTACCTCGACCTCCACATTAGGACCTCCACATTCCGGGTGAAATAAGACCAGAGAGATTAACCTGACTTAATCCTGGGGGTAAGCAGGAAGTCTAAGGACAACGCAGACTTATCGTGACCTATAGGTCAAAAGCTTCCAAGGGATAGGTTGTATATCAAAATGATAAGTGTTGTTAGTAATGAGATGTAGCAAAACTGGAGGTTAAAAAGAGGTCAAAACAGGTGTCCAAGGAGCCAGCAGGTGGCATGGTGGTTAAGGCGCTGGATTCCCACCTGGTTGACCACGGTTGGAGTCCCGGACCTGGTGGCTTGCTTTCTCACTTTCCCTTTCTCTCCCTCTCTCTTTCTCTAGTGAGCATGCATGCCCTGTAGCAAATTAAATAATTATAATAAATAAAATGAAATCATTTTAAAAAGAGAAAAAAACAAACAGGTGGCCCAGTCTGCTACCTCACAGCAACATCTGACCAATAAGCCAAGTCCAATCAAGTCTAGCTCTTTTTTCTTAATATCCTACGCTGTCAAAACCTGTTTGTTAGAAATGCCTCTTAATCCTACTTCGAGTCAGCATTTTCACCTTTCCCATGCACCACCTCAATGTGCACACAGAATTTTCCTAGAGAAAAATCCTACGGGGAGACCATTAGCATCTTGGAAGAGAGAAGCACCATTTACACCTCTTCTTATCCCCAGATGCATGATCACAGTGACAGCAACACAGAAAGGGCTTAGGAAATGTCACATTCAAGCCTGGCTATCTGTAAGTGCACAGAAAGTGAAACGTTAAACCGAAAACAAAACTTTTTCTGAACTAGAGACATGAAACATACCCCACAACTTCAGGGTTTAGTGGAACGGCAGCTTTTGCCCTGTGGATTCCCGAGCCCCACGCTCAGGCCCGAGCAGAGCTGCGTAGTACATGCCTTGCCATCGCTTCCCCCACACTCACTGCTGTGCGTAAAGCCCGGCTGTCCCCAGCGAGGTTTACACTGTATCCACCTCGCAGTTAGAGAGTAGATAGAAAAGGACTCCTTGCCCCAGTGTCTGGTTCTAATTTAAGAATATACTTTAACATAGCACAGACTGCTAGCTCACAATCTAGGGTTTACTAACCCACAATTTCCCTATTCCAGTTCACACGAAAGAAGGAAATGGAGAAGCACACGCATGCTCGCGCTGTCCCATAACTGGATGTAATACATATGTCAAAATTCGAATGCAACTTGACCTGCTGCCTGCCTGTGTCTGTTAAAAACAAACAAACAAACAAACAAAAACATAAATCTCCACGAATTGATTTTATCAAAATTTTAGGGCTTTTGTGTTTGTTTGTTTTGTTTTGTTTTTGGAGAAGTTTTTGTGATAGGGCACATGTGCTTGTCAGACAGATAGAGACAGAGAGACAGAAAGCGAGAAATCATCCCCCCAGGGGGATGGCCACACCACAATCCCTTTTCCTCCATTCTCCTCTTGGGATCTTGGGCATGCATGCACACGCGTCCGGGATGCAACCCACGGTCGACTACATGGGAGTCCAGCAACACAGCCATTATGCTAACTGCTGGTCCTTTTTTTTTTTTTTTTAATTTGCTAAAGGGCACATATATTCACTGGAAAGAGAGAGAGAGAAAGCAGAAAAGCACCCCCGTGGGGCACTGTCACACTGCAATTCCTTCTTCTCTACATCTCCTTTCAGGATTTGGGGCATGCACACACATATTCCCGGTGCATTTGTCAAGCTGCCAGGTCCAGGACTTGAACTGCCCTGTTGGCCATGTGAGTTCCAGTCACCTTTATCACCAGGGCATGGGCTGGCTGGCAGTTGGGTGTTGTGAAGTAGTGCCAGGAAGTTAAAAAGTATAACCAAGAAACGGGCAGATGGCATAATGGTTACATGGCTGGACTCCCACATAGTTGACTGTGGTTCGAATCCTGGACCCAGTGGCTTAAAACTCCTGCTGAGCACATATGCATGCCCAGGATCCTGAGCAGAGAATGGGGGAGAAGGGATTGTAATGTGGCCAACTCCCCTGGGAGGTGATTTGTCTTTCTGTGTCTCTAGTGAGTGCAAGTACCCTGTAGCAAAAACAAAAACAAACAAAAAACTCTCTCTAAAAGAAAGAAAGAGAGAAAGAGAGAAAGAGAGAGAGAGAGAGAGAAGAAGAAAAAGAAAAAAGAAAACAAACAAAACCCCAGAAAGTATAACCAAAAAGAAAAAATCAAGGGTGTCCCTCGAGAGATTGCTGGACCCATTAGATCCATCTTCAAACATTATGTATATAAAACTACTAGACTCGTTTCTTTCCTTTTCAAAACCATGACGCAGGCCAGCCCCACAGTAGAGTGGATAAGCACTGCATTGGAATGGATCCCACTTGACCGACTACAGTTCAAATCCTAACTCTGGTAGCTTGAAACACAAGCTACAGAGTACATGTGTGTGCATGCCTAAAATCCTGACAGGATGGAGAAATGGAGGAGAAATGAGTGTGGTGTCATCATGCCCTGTTAGGAGGTGCTTCCTGTCTCCTCTCTCTGCCAAGCACACATGCACTCTGGCAATTAAAAAAAAAAAAACAACTTTTAATTAAAAAAAAAAATTAAAGGACATTTAAAAGCTGGATCCAACAGTTCTCTATTTTAGCACAAATGTCAGATACAAAAATGAATGTTGTTTTCACCTGAAGGCAAAATAAAATTATACTCTATGGTTTCAATTTTTTGCATACATCATGGGAAAAAACAATTAGAAGTAGAAGGGGAATCAATAGAGCAGAGTCTGCGACTGTATTGACTCTGGATACATAGCCCCCTTATCCTGTCTGTTGCAACAATGAGAATGCGAATCCAATCAAAGTATCCAGTGGTCAATGAAAAACACGAAGCATACTGAAAGGAGGGGGAAAAAAAATTTGGCCACTGTTTCCAACAAAATAAAACTAGAAAGCTATACCTTTAAGATACTGGAAGACTTTTTTTCTGATCTTGAAAATTAATAAGTAGTCGATACTTAGCCAGGATGTTTTATGTTACCAAAAGATTCATTTTGGGGGTATGAAGTTTAATTTCATGGATTGAGCCAGGACTGAAGATATTTTTCTAGAGGTTATAGATGGGCAACATTTTCTCTACCCATAAAGATAGTCACCATTTAATCCATTTTAAAAATCTAAGTAAGGCCTTAGGTTCATGCATTCGTTTGTTAACTTATCGTGATTTTTTTAAGGTCCATTATGGGAGGGGGAGGTGTTTCACAGGGGACACGATTCTACTCCAAATACATGAGTGTATATATCATATTTCAGGGTTTCCAAGCAGCACTATTTACAAGGGCAAATGATTGGAAATGACTGAATGCCAAGCAATGGGACTCTAGCTCAGTTTATGGCACAACCTATAACCCAATGAATCTATATGCTACTGGGCCAGAAGATGGCAGGGAGGTTAAGGCGGCTGGATCCCACACGGCTGATGCGATGAGTGTGGTGTCATCATGCCCTGTTAGGAGGTGCTTCCTGTCTCCTCTCTCTGCCAAGCACACATGCACTCTGGCAATTAAAAAAAAAAAAACAACTTTTAATTAAAAAAAAAAATTAAAGGACATTTAAAAGCTGGATCCAACAGTTCTCTATTTTAGCACAAATGTCAGATACAAAAATGAATGTTGTTTTCACCTGAAGGCAAAATAAAATTATACTCTATGGTTTCAATTTTTTGCATACATCATGGGAAAAAACAATTAGAAGTAGAAGGGGAATCAATAGAGCAGAGTCTGCGACTGTATTGACTCTGGATACATAGCCCCCTTATCCTGTCTGTTGCAACAATGAGAATGCGAATCCAATCAAAGTATCCAGTGGTCAATGAAAAACACGAAGCATACTGAAAGGAGGGGGAAAAAAAATTTGGCCACTGTTTCCAACAAAATAAAACTAGAAAGCTATACCTTTAAGATACTGGAAGACTTTTTTTCTGATCTTGAAAATTAATAAGTAGTCGATACTTAGCCAGGATGTTTTATGTTACCAAAAGATTCATTTTGGGGGTATGAAGTTTAATTTCATGGATTGAGCCAGGACTGAAGATATTTTTCTAGAGGTTATAGATGGGCAACATTTTCTCTACCCATAAAGATAGTCACCATTTAATCCATTTTAAAAATCTAAGTAAGGCCTTAGGTTCATGCATTCGTTTGTTAACTTATCGTGATTTTTTTAAGGTCCATTATGGGAGGGGGAGGTGTTTCACAGGGGACACGATTCTACTCCAAATACATGAGTGTATATATCATATTTCAGGGTTTCCAAGCAGCACTATTTACAAGGGCAAATGATTGGAAATGACTGAATGCCAAGCAATGGGACTCTAGCTCAGTTTATTGCTAAGCCTATTACACAATGAATCTATATGCTACTGGGCCAGAAGATGGCAGGGAGGTTAAGGCGGCTGGATCCCACACGGCTGATGCGCAGTTCCAGTCCTAGACCTGGTGGTTTGAGGAACACACTGGGTGCGTGTGCATGTGTGCCCAAAATCCTAAGAGGAAAATAAAGAAGAGATTGCAGTGTGGCCATCCCTCCTGGGGGGTGATTTCTCACTTCCTCTCTCTCTCTCTCTCTCTCTGGGGAGCACACATGACCTATAGCAAACCTTAAAAACGAAAAAAATTGGCAGGACCAGCAGATGGTGTAATGGTTTTATCACTGGACTCTGGTATAGTCGACCATGATTTCTATTTGAGTCCAGGACCCATCAGTTTAAAATTCACCCTGGGCGCGTACACATGCGTGTGTGTGTGTGTATGTGTGTGTCCATCCAAAATTCCGAGAGGAGAAGGGATGGTGGTGGTGTGGCCATCCCCCCAAGGGGGTGATTTATCATTTTCTGTTTCTCTG